GAGCTCAACGATCCACTTGGTTCTATTGTACATACATTAAAAAAGCACTTGTTTTTTTAAATCCCAAATGGGCCATTCACTAGCTTAATGCCACTGGGCAAGTTGCTTCACTTATCTAAGGCTTGCACTGCTAGTAGGAAAGTTGAGAATAAACAGCTTCAAGACTGGCAGAAGGATTAGAGAAAATTATGTGCCGCATCAGCATAGAGCCTGGCATTAGTAGAAACGTAAGAAGTAAAGCTGAACTCATCATTCCATGCTTTGGAAGCCAGTAGCAAATGGACCAGAAAAATCGAATCATAAGGGGAAGGGAGGGGCTGGAGAAGAGAACAAGCCCTAGGAGTAGACAGCTGACAGCGAGGAAGGGTTGAGAAGCCATAAGGACATAAAGCCCAAAAATCGCAGACTGACTCCACCAACCTCCAGCCTGAAATAGCCGTTGAGGGAATCAGTAGCATTTTCACAAGATGATGTGCCTGAGGACAACATTAAACTCTTTAAAACAGATACGATTTTTATACCATGCCTTTTTAGAAAGACAGATAAGCACATAATTGACTTTGGAAAGTGTCCTATCAAAGTGATTTAGCAGTTAGGGATACCGTTCAGTGCTAGAACACTCACCTCGCGTGGGCAAGGTCCTGGGCTCTATCCTGAGCACGATGCAGACATCAGACATGCACACGCGCGCACACGCACACATACACACAGAGAAAGAAAAACCAAGCACACGGAGGAACCTCTACTACCACGCTTCTGCTCTGATCGATGTGTAAAGCATGCACGGGCAGCACTAAGAAAGGAGGGGCTGTCCGAGACTGCGTAGATATATATGCATGTCACAAAAGTCCCTTCTGATATTCACCTTAGTAAGTACAAAATAGCATGAGCCATGTTTAATACTTAAATAAGAAAGCTTACATGTCTGTTAGGAACAATGAACACCCCATTCCACAGGCCACCCTGTAGGTGGCTTGAAGTCCTATTATCAATCACCACCGCACTCCGCTCACCCAGGAATGTGTGACGCAGGTGGCTTCCATGAGACTGGCTGTGTGGCAGGCACAGGAGGCACAGTTAGCACCACACTTCACCGCCCCTACATAGTGCAGTGCTGTCACCTACACCCACCAACCTCAACTGCTGTGCAATCCAGGCATAAAAACTATCATTAAATATCATCTCAAGTTACAAGTTTACAATCTTGTGTGCCCATATTCACAGCTATCCAGGGCCGGGGCTGGGGATTTGGCTCAGTGGTAAGATGCTTACATACCAAGCTGGAAGTCCTAAGTTCAATTCTCGGCACCAAAAACAAAAAATAAACCTCCCCTAAAAAAACAATTCAATCAAAAGTACACAGTAAAATCAAAAAAGACCAAAAACAAACAAGGCAACATAGCTATCCAGGGCCATGAGTTGGAAACACTTCGGTTTAAAAAAAAAAAAAAAAAAAACTTTTGTTTTTTTTCTATTAAACATGGGAAATGTATTTTGAACAAATTAATTGTGATATTTGTAAAAAGCAATGGCATAAGGTATGGTCAATTTTATAACAGCTAAACAAGATAATGTTTTGGTCTCTCTCCTTGCTAATATTTTTGTATCTCCCCAAAAGAAAACATATGAAATAGAAATTTCTTTTCACCAGAATATTCTCCCTACATTTGAGAGGCAATAAAAAGGCAGGAACATCTGTTCTTTCCTGCTGTGCTGACAGCTCTCATTCTGTGGTTTAAAGACTTTTTAAAAAGAAAGTTTAGGGAAGCCCATAGATATGTATAACAATCACCTGCTTCCGAAGCAGCTGGCCATTAATTGATCCAACCACACGCATGATCAAGGCCAAAGAACTGGCTCCCTAAGGACAAAACTAGTGCTCCCCAAGCCCTTTGTAACTTCCAAGACACCCATAGAATAGCAGGGTGTGATAAAGAAGCAAATGTGGTGGCAGATGACAAGGGCAGAGTCAACAGCTGAGAAACGGGGCCTGTGTCAATCTGGATCTCTTCCACTACTCCAAGAGTTTCCATGAAAGCTTCCTTTAAAAACCTGATTCACTCTGGCCAACAAGGACCTTTCATTTGGTCCAAGGAAGGCCAGATTCAACCATGAAGGAGTATATATTTTCAACTGCCATCGAAAATATCCCATCAGAGGAAGATGCCTTAGGTAGATGTTATAACAGTATAAAATAGGTTTCTTCCTGTGTATTTCCTTACAGTGCTCAACAAGAACAAGCAAGAGGACTCAGACATGAATCAGAAGACTGGGCTTCTACTTCCTGTTCTGTCGCTGCAAGAATCACAGAATGACCTTGAGAAAGTTGTTTCACCTCTTCTTCTATCTCCATTTCTTCACAGTCATGGATTAAGTCAAATCTACTTTTTCCCCCTGACCAATGCTGAATAAAGGAGATTAATGTACAGAAGCTGAAACACAAAAATGTATCTGCTATATCCAACTATCAAATATAAAACAGCTAATGTCCATATGAAAACAACTAACCCTGAGCTTTTACAACACACAATAATAATAATTTTTTTAAAAATCTGCTTGGAAAGCCAGGCAGGGTTTTGCACATACCTACAGTAGCTGGGGAGGCTAAGGCAAGAGGATTTTGAATTCAAGCCCTGCCTAAGAACTTAGCCAGTCCCTATCTCAAAATAAAAACTGAAGTGTGCTGGGATATAGCTCAGCGTGAAGGCCCTAGATTCAATCCTCAGTATGAACAACAACAAAAAGGAAAATCTGTATGGAGAATGGAGAGATCAATAAAAGCCAGGTATAACTCCTATATGACATGAAATTTCAAATTTCAAAATATGGTACTAATAAAAGGATATGCAAGTTTCAGGAATGTTTTTTAAAAGGAAACAAAATTTCAACTTATTAAAAAAATAAAATAAAAAATTTCAATTTATTTAGGGCCCTATGATGTTTCAAAACTCTGTGCAGTCCTCATCTGACAAGCTCGCCCGTTCCCCCAGAGACAAACCACCATATCCTTGATGTTCGTAGGACCCTGCCCTACATATCCAGAGGCAGATATATAACTAGATACGGATTCTTATATGCTGGCCTTTTATTTTTCTTCTCATGTCAGGAATGCATTGCAGGCTCTTGCACATGCCAGGCAAGCACCTTACTGTGACTGATAAGCGTATACCCTGTGTGGTACTTACTGCTGTCTCCTCTTCACTTAGTGGAACTTTCCCATCATTCAATAGTCTACGTATCAGACTGGAGATGCAGAGTTCATAGCAAAGTGCTTGCCCAGCATGCCTGAGGCCCGGGGTTACATTCCCAGCACCAGGAAAAAAAAAGTCTATGTGACATCTACCATCTAGCATATTTTCTGGCACAATGTGGCTGTCCTGTGTGTGTGTGTGTGTGTTTACATGTGTGTGTTGATGTATGTGTGTGCTAAATGAATGAAACAACTTTTTGAAGTCTTATTCTACTACTAGAAATAGTAATTATTAATACTAATCATTAAAAATCATAGTAATGGTGAACAATCATTTTGAGAAAACGGTCAATGAATGAGACTCAGTGAGAAAATCCATGATTTCTCACCAACACTGAACTCACAAAGATGGAGCTGAGAAGTAGACCGGTGCTTTGCACACACAAGGATTGAATGCCCTGAGTTCAATCCCCTGGACTCCAAAAAGAAACTCAAGAATGTTCCTATCTTCTTACATCAAAAATGGCCTCTCATTTTTGTGTATTTTGCTCTTTTAGTTTTAGATTTTACAATTTATCTAATGCACTGAAGACTATAAATATCCTTTTAACTGAATCTGTATAATAAGGAAAAGGGAGGGAAGAAACAGAGCTTCTCATGTAAAGAAGCTACTTTTAAAGATTCTATAAATGCAAAATAAAAAAGTCCATAGATGAAAATGAATATGTAGCCAATAAGAGTAGCTAGCACAACATGAACAACATCTAGCCAACTAAGAAGTTGTCCTCATTGAGAAATTTCATCCAAGTGATGTTTTACAGATAGCATCTTTAGTAAATAATATAAGGTTTTGAAATTCCATCTGAAACTGACATTCAAATATTGATCACAAACCTATCAATACTGACAATTTTTTTTTCCTATTCTAACACTCTATGTCACTTTTTAATTAAGAGTAGTATACAGGAAACAGACACTTAGGCAGGGCCTGGAGACCCATCAGCCTGTAGGAAAGGAAAAACTCATGATACTGCCTGACTTTTACCATCATAAACTTGGCTCTTTGACTGTGTTTTAGCTGTAAGAGACCATCACCAACGCTAAGAGAGGGATCAATTGAACCACAAGATGCCTTTAGGCCTTCTCAACTTTCCTACTTCCTGGTTACAGCCCAATCTGATTGGACCAGGAAGCCAAATGAAAGCATCCCTGTTCTACTATGTTTTTTCTAATAGCACACACCGGTTGTGCCTGTATTAGCAAAAAGGAGTCACAGCTCAACTTCAGAAAGTAATGGTACCCAGTTAATCCGCTGCAAGACAAAAATAATACATTGCATGTAGACATGCACATGTGTACTCACACACATACACACATATACATACACATGCAAGCAGTCAGAGATCACCTCTGTAGAGTAGTGGAATGACACATCTCCAAAATAAACCCTTAAAAAAAAAGGATGGAAAACACTTGCTCTATTAGTTCTGTGGGGTCAGGAAGCAGGAAATAAAATACGGCTTAGCTAACGAGGCGCAAGGGAGTCTGCCAGGAGTCGCCCATAGCACTGAAGAACTGTGAATATTTGGGGGAATTCAGCAGAGCTGCCCTTTCTCGCGGTGAGTAGGAACAGACACTCCCAAACTGCTCCCTTTATCACTAGGTAAGGAAGAGCGAACTAGCCAGTCAGTCCAAGGCATTTCACTGAGGCCAGGGCCAGGTAGGATTCCCCGCAGCAGGCGGGTGGCATGGGGAAGGCCCTGATTGGCAGACGACCTGCCACCTGGAGGCCGGCCGCGGGCGCGCTCACCTGTGAACACGTTCTGGAAGCCGTCAGCAGTCGCCGGCGTCCCGGACGCCTTAGCAGCCAGCGCGGGGGTCACCCCGCCACCATCTGCAGCCTGCCCGCGCCCCAGCAGGTGAGCTGAGCCTCCCGGCCGGGGAGAACGAGCGCCTAGCTCCTCGGTCCAGTCGGCAGAGCGGCTGAGGCCAGCGGCGAGGCCCCCGTCCGCCCGCTGCTTCTTTGCCGGGGCGACCACAGAGGCTAGGGCGGGTCTGGACCCCCGGCTCACGGAGGACTCCAGTCGCCTCTTGATCCTAGGGCTCTGGCTGGGGGACTGCGACGGGGAGTGGTTGGGCGAGCTGAGCTGCCGGGTGGTGGTCTTGATGTAGCAGGGGGCTATCAGCGGATAGGGCTTGGGGCAGCGCGGGCTGGGCGCGGGGCTCCCGGGCAGGGAGGCGGCCGCAGCGGGGACCCCAGGACCTCGTGTCCGCTCCTCCGGCTCTGGCCCCGGCCCCGGCGGGGCCTCTTCCCCCACTGGGGCCCAGTCTTCCGCTGGAGAGCCCCGGGGGGCGTCCTCAAAAGCATCCTCTTCGACCTCCTCATCCGTGTCCGGGGCTGCGTCCGCGCACTCCCCCGGCCCGGCCCCGGGGAACGGGAAGGCAGTGTACGAGGGCGAGTCTGCAGCGGGGGCCTGGGCCGCGGGGACGCCAGGCGTCTCGGAGGTCCGGCGGCTGCTGGGGGACTGGGGCTGAGCTGGGGGCCGCGCCGGGGGCTGGGGAGCCTGGCGCTTGGGCGGGGCGGGGGGCGCGGGCGGCGCCTGCTCGGTGCGTGGACCGCCCGGGGCCTCCGCAGCCTCGCCGCTTGGTCCTTGTAGGAACCGCTCCAGGCCCAGGAAGGCCCCGGGCGCAGCGGAGGCGGCGGTGGGGGTCGCTGCAGGCTCCTGGCCGTCCTGGAGCTGCTGCAGCTGCTGCAGGCGGATCGCCTGCTGGATGTCTGAAAGCAGATCCTCCTGCTCCGCAGCCGAGTGGAAGCTGTAGATGTCCGTGTCTGAGCCCGAACTGGTCCTTTGTCCATCCTGCGCCCCTGCGGCGGCTTCCAAATCCTCAGCGACCTGCTGTACCCCTGCCCCAGCCTCGGGAGGCCTAGGACCACCCGGCCGGGTCACCTCGAAGGAGTCCACACACTCGGTATCCGACAGACCAGCCTCATCCGCCGACAGGCTGAGGTCCGGGGTCTTGGTGCGCAGGGAGTGAGCGCTGTCCAGCTCCCCGGTCTGCAGGGCCTGGGAGTCGAGCACATCCTCACGGGACCCGCCGGCGCCTTTCCCCTTGGACAGGTTCTTCCTGATCCGCAGGTTGGAAAACACCGAGGCCCGGGCGTCCGACTTGCTCTTCTTCTTCCCGGACTCCCCGCCGCCGCCGCCCCCCTTGCCGTGCTTGCCCAACGCCTTCTTGCTCCCGCTGCCCTTCTTAGCGGCTTCTGTGTCCCTGGGCCCCACCGCGTCCTCGGCGCAGCCGCCGCCGCCTTCGTGCGAGGCATCACCTGCGCTCCTCTTGAGCTTCCCGTCCTGGTTCCCCATGTCGCAATCCCGCCGCCGCGCCGCCGCGCCCGGGGAACTCAGGCCATTGCGGGCCTCTTCGGCCCCCGGCCCGGGCCAGGGGAACCTCGCGAGCGAATCAGGCAGCTGGACTGGCCACGGGGAGACAAGGCTGACGAGCGCGCGGCTGGCCCAGCTCGCATCTGCGGCCGCTTTGCATAATGCGCGGCGGCTCCCGCGCGCGCTGTCCCTGCGGCTGCGGCTGCGGCCGGGAGCCGGCGGGGCGCGAACATGCTCAGTGCGGCGCGCCGCGCCCGCCAATGGCAGCGCCCGACGCAGCGCCGGCCCAGCCCAGCGCCCGCCACCCCCTAGCAGCTCGGTGCCGAACTCAGGCGCGAAAACCGTTTCCTGGATCTCGGGGAATTGAATCTCCACGGTGCAGATCGAATGCATGGACGCCCCCTCACGAAGCGCGTCGGTCGGGAGATGCACCCGCAAGTTCAGAGCTCCCAGACCTGCGAAGACAAAATTCAACCGATAATTAGACGATTTCAGACTGGGGTGGGAAGGGGGCCGAAGCCAAGCTCCAGTTTGGAAGTGCCACAATACAATATCACGGCCGTTTATACACGTGCACACACCCATCTGCCTGCTTCTTCGGGCTCCCTTAATATTTGTTAAATGAATGAGCTGTTCTGTTTCTTGAATAATTGATCGTCTACTGGAGCACTCCGACGTGCTGGAGCATATGGTTTAGGGAAGGTTACTACCAAGGCGCTGAGCTGGGTTTCACAGACCCTGCTTCCCCGGGGAAACCTTAGCTGTCATCTCCAAAGTTGGCTGATCAAAGTTGGGGTTTTTTGGGGGGTGGGGGAGGCGGCGCACAGGAAAAAAATAAAGAGGTAGAGGAAGCAGAAAATGCTGAGATTAGGGTTGATTAAAATGCTAATCTCTAAAATTCTATGTGTTTACCATATAAATTAAACAGCATTTGTATTCAAAAAGGGTTTGGTGCTTAAACTATACCTCCCAGGAGGTCAAACTCATCAATATTAAACATGTCACTGTTGTGGCCCCGTACAAAGAGGAAAAAGACAAAAAGGAAACACCCTCCGCACAAAGGCAGAATCAGATATTATGCTATTAACCACATTTTCCCAAGCAAGTCCCAGGTACAGTTTGTCTTTTACCAGGGCTTCCTAACTTTCTTGCCTTAGTATTCATGCAAACACTTTTTCTCCTTGTAAATTTTGTTAGTATTTTAACTATTAAATTTACTTACTTTTCCAAAGTATTTTTTTTAACATTATTGGTATTGAAAAAAGCGCCACTCAGTAAGGTAACATTGGCATTCACCAACAAACGTTGCAAGTATTTGTTAAAAGTTCATGCTAATTGCTTTGGAAATATGGAATAACTTGGATTAACTGGGTATTTTTTAAAGCATACCCAGAGGAGGACAAAGTAGCTCATATTATATAATGCAATTTAAATGTGGCAAGCAAAAGTGCAAGCTCCCTTTGCCAAAGATCAGCCAACATTTTAAACTTCTCTCCTTAGGCACCTTCATGAAAACAAAAAGTTGGTCCCGTAAGTCTGTGAGTGAGAGGCACATGGAGCAATTGTTACTAGCTTATTTTAAACTCTGATTTTAAGAGTAAATGTAACCACAGGGGAGGTAGCCAGTTATCCTTAGGTGACCCTTTTGAGGAAAGGACTTGGAGAAATCAACTTTAATAACTTTGCCAGGGTAATAACCCAGTCTCCAAGCAATTCCGGAGTGCTTGAAAAGCCTTTGTTTCACCTCTTTCACTTCATTGCTCTTGTTTCTTCTAGAAGCCAGGCTTCCCCCAGGGCACAATTTGCCTGTGGATATTAGAATTTTCTGCTCCTTTCAATGCCCAGAGACTTGGAATCTTGATCCCTGCTCTTTCTTTAACAAAACAACTTTGATTCTGAACTATTTATTCCCTTACTATTTTCCTATCTTCGGTGACATATTCTAGAAGTTCAGAAGACAAGAGAGAAGATGGCAGGGGTAGAGGTGCTGGATTTTCACATCCATTGAATTTGAAACCACCGGTGTCCGTTGTGCCAGCAGGTCACAGTCGACAAAGCCAAAGTACATGCAGAGGCTCATGTGAAACCCGTAAGAGTCTGGCATCAAATTCAGATAGCCATGCTCACCCCAGTAATAATTAACACCTGAACTCAGTTCAGACGGGCCAAGAGATTTGTCCACATTCTTGTAGCAACAAAAAGTGATATTTGAGCTCACAAACTCAGGTCCCAAATTCTTGTAACAGCTCCGCATCATTTACTCTTTAGAGGACAGACACAGATGTTATAAAGCTGCAAAGATTTGCCAAAGCATCCCTTAACATTTAGTTGGTACTTGGCAATCTCAAAGATGCCTAGGACGTGGCTGTTATGGTTTGTGTCTAGATGTCCCCCTAAAGCCTCATGTGGTCATAGGGTTTTTTCAGTGTGTGATTCATAGTGCAAAACTGAGATTAGGGTGGGTGATTGCCAAATCAGTCCACTGATTGAACTGGCACAGTCCTAATCCCAGTAGGTCAGACACAGTGTAAGGGACAGAACTCTCTTCTGTTGCTTTTGCCATCTTCCACTGCACTAAACTGTTGTCCCTCTGCCATGTGCCACCCTGCCTTGGAGCCAGCCAGTTATGGATTGAAACCTCCACACTGTGAGGTAAACAACCTCTTCCTCCCTTAATTTTGGAGGTCGGGTACTTTGTCTCAGCAATAAGAAAGTAACTAAGACAACGGGCCAAGCTTAACTCCACTTGATGAAGGAAGAGTAAAAGGGCTTGTCATGTAGCTCAGTGGTAAAGAACATGCTTAGGTTTTGATTAGCAGCAGTGGGTGCGTGCACACATACACACACACACACACACACACACATCATATTTGGGGCTGGAAAAATATAGGTAACAGATTATTAGAGATTCTCCCTTGTACACAGCCACATCCTATGTGTCAGGATATAGAAGACAAGTGGGCAAGTGCGATCCACCCCTGTGCTAAAAGATGTAGTTTATTGGAGTTGTTGTTAAAAGTTTTCACTGTTAGCAGCCCACAAAATTCACAAAAACTGCACACAGCATAAGATGCAGTGCTACTCCTCCAGAAAAGGGAATTGCATATGAACGTTAAACAAAATTAGTGGGGTGGGAATACTGTTTAGTGATCGTGGGTGTGCCGACCATACTCGAGGCCCTGAGTTGGACCCCCAGAACGGTCCTTAAATAAATAGATCAATAAAAGTAAAAGATAAAATTAGTAAGTGTAGGTTGGCAAACTTTAGGCAAATATTGAATTTTATTTCACAGGCAGGCTGCAACAATGTGGTAAGCACGTAATCTCTGCAACTTACTCTAAAATGCATCAAAAATAAAAATGTCCTAATGACTGCATGGACAGTTATATGACAAAAGAAATTTAATAAATTGTCAACTGTCATTACTTGGTAGGCACATGGGAGGGTCAGTTTTTCTGTATGTTTGAAATTTTTCATACAAAAATGTTGGAAATGAAAGCAAGTTTCAAGAATCTGTGAATTTCTTATCTTTTTTTGTAATTAAAATCATGCAATAGCTAGCATTCAGTAAACACTAGATGGAGTCTGGGGGTGTAGCTCAGTGGTACAGCACCTGCTGAGCTTGTGCACTGCCTTGGGTTTGAGCCCCAGCACCCCAAAAACCATAAAATATAGTGAAATGTCTTTGATAATTGGTTTTTTGAAGGCCTGCATTGTTTTTGTGTGCTTGGCATAAGTGGAATGGATTCTAATTCTCCAACTCATCTTTTTCTTCAGCAAAGTGATCTTCTTTAAAAATGACAACCCTTTTGTCATCCTGCTGTCAATGGCCAAGATGGATTTCACGAAGAGACAGAGACTGAGCGGTTGCTGCTGTATCCTGACTTCGAGCAGCAGTCAACTCCACATAGAACCTGGGAGCAGGAGATTCAGAATGGAGGCTCTTCTCTCGCCCATCCCCTGTGAGATTTTTTTTTATCTTCAGCTACAGTTTTTGTCACTGTCAGCAACTTTATCTTCAAACACGATGGCTAGCAGTGTTACCAACAAGACAGATCCTTGCTCCATGAATTCCCGTGTGTTCATTGGGAATCTGAACACTCTTGTGGTGAAGAAGTCTCTTGTGGGTGTCATCTTCTCAAAGTGTGGCAAAATTGTGGGGGGTTGCTTCATTCATAAGGGCTTTACCTTTGTCCAGTACGTTAATGAGAGAAATGCCCAGGCTGCTGTAGCTGGAGAGGATGGCAGAATGATTGCTGGCCAGGTTTTAGATAGTAATCTGGCTGCAGAACCAAAAGTTAACAGAAGAAAAGTAGGTATGAAATGATCTGCAGGGGGGTTGTACAGCTCCTTTTTTGACTTGGACTATGATTCAACATGATTATTATGACAGGATGTACAGTCACCCAGCACGTGTTCCTCCTTCTCCTCCTATTGCATGGGCTGTAGTACCCTCAAAACATCAGCATGTATCAGGAGACACCTCCCAAAGAGGCAAAAGTGGCTTCATTTCTAAGAGTGGCCAGTGGGGATCTTCGTCCAAGTCTGGAAAGTTGAAAGGTGATGACCTTCAGGCCATTAAGAAGGAGCTGAGCCAGATAAAACAAAAAGTGGATTCTTTACTGGAAAGCCCATAGAAAATTGAAAAGGAGCAGAGCAAATAAGCAGTGGAGGTGACGAATGTTAAGTCCAAAGAGGAGCAGACCAGCACCTCCCAGAAGATGAGACCTATGTAAAGATGGAGTCTGGGGGTGTTGTGCATGACTCTGCTGAGGAGGGGGACCAACTGGATGATGATGATGATAATGATCAGGCGGAGGACCAGCTAGAATTGATCAAGAATGACGAAAAAGAGGCTGAGGAAGGAGAGGAGGACAGAGGCAGTGCCAAAGGCAAGGATGACTTCAGCCCAAAGTGGGGTTCAGAAGTCTTATCCCCTTATTTCTTTACCTAGGAGTTTGTCTAAGATCAAAGTTTCATCA